GAGCCCCCGCACTGCTGCTGCCGCTCGCTTGTGCAGCCTCCGATCTCCGGCCAGATGTGTTGGATGCATCTGCGCGGTCTGTCGTCGGCGACGTTCCTGAAGCCGGGGTGTTCAGAGGTCTGAAGCAACCTCGCCGCCCCCCCGGGGGCGCGGTGGAAGAGGCGCTCCGCACCTTCGAGGGCGCATTTGCGGAACACGTCGGCAAGCTGGCCTCGTAGCCGAAGCCCGCGCCAGATCAAGCCCGTGCTGCATGGGGCGCGAGCGCAGAGGAGCAGGAGCTGGGTTTTCTTACTCGGTGGCAATCCCGACAATAGATGGGCGCTAAGTTTGGCCGTGGTGGTTGGAGGCCGCTCGTCCGACTCGCCGTCCGGGATCCAAACGAGGGTCTTGCAGGGTCATCGATAACGGCCGTAGCGAGGGCCACAACGATGCCCATGTTGTTCGGGGGCGCACCCACACCGCCTGCACTGCAGTGGGCTATGCTATCGCCCGCCGCATGGCAGCCACATTTCCTGGTCGCCAGCTCCGCAGGAGCACCCGGGATATGAAAAAGGCATTTAGGCAGATCCCGGTCGCGGAATTTCACGCGCGGTATCGCATCGTCGCTGCCTGGTCGAAATCTCAGGGCACCTGGGTTGCTCTCTGATCTGGAGGGCCTGGCATTTGGAATCGGCGTGGCGGTGAACCATGTCAACCGCGCCCCGCTGCACTTCTGCGCGGTGGCACGACGATGGCTGGCCGTTCCAGTGATCAACTACTTTGACGACGTCAAGGTCGCCGACCTCGAAGGGATTTCGGCATCTTCCTTCCGTTGTTTGGGCTCGCTCGCGGGCTGCACGGGGGGGGGGTCTTCGACCGGCGGAAGGAATTCCTATCCGTCCTTGGGTGGGGCGTTCCTGGGATGGAATGAAGATTGCGCGCCAATCCCTTCCTCTGGGATGATCACAAAATCCCCAACATGAGTCTTTCTGTCTGGTGTCGTCGACCTCGTGAGCTCCATCCTGGCCTCCTCTCTGCCTCTGAGGCGCGCGCGGTCCGTGACAAGCTGATGTGCATGGCAGATGCATGCGAAGGTCGCGTTGGCAGAGGGCAGATGTCAATTTTCGAGGAGACCATCCAGGGGCGCGCTGATTGGGGCCGGGTGACGGCAGTCTTGGAATTTCATTTGACGCTGGCCCAGATGCGGCGTTGGCGAATCATTGATTTGTTTCCAGGAGAGGCCGCGTTTCACGGTGTGCACAGATTCGTGTAGCGAGGTTCGCCCGCCTGCTGTGCGTCCTCATGTTGGCCTGTGCTATATCATCTTGGATGCTCAAGGAGGGGCCAAGTGGGGCGGTGTTGCTGCCTTGTCCGACGAGGTCTTGGATACTTTCGACCTCCTCGAACAGTGCTTTGCCCTGGGGGAAGCGTTCGCCCCACATTTGTGCTTCCAGTACGAAAGGGCATTATTGGCGGGGGCTTCCGTCATAGTCTTCGTGGACAGTTTGCTGCTGTTGTTGGCGGTGTGCAAGGGCTCCAGCAAAGTCGTGGACTTCGGGGGGCTCGTGCACGCCATCCATCTGCTCACGGCGTCGCTCCGGCTGTTGGCGTGGTGGGAACACGTGGACAGCGCCGCGATTATTGCGGACGGCGGGAGCCGCTGCGGCAATGCTGGCCGGGTGGCCAGGAGGCTCGGCATCCGTCTCAAGACCGTGGAGTTTCCGCCTCGGCTGGCCGATATGCGCCAGGTCCCGGCAAATACTCTGCTTGGGTATCTGGAGTCGGGGTTCGATGGACAAGGCGTAAGGTGCTGAGAGTAGGTTCGATGGGGTTTGGTTGCCTTTCGGACCATGCAGGAGAAAGGACATGTGGCCTCTCTCGTGCATGCCGGTCTCGGCGCCAGGATACCACCACAACGTAATCCAAAGGGGCCTTATTCCATCTCCCTCTCCTTGTTTTTCTTCCGTGCCTCTGAGGACCCCAGTAATGGTGGAAATGGACGTGTGAGGGATCATGGATATGCACCTCGACCCCCCCCTTGTTCTCCTCTCAAGAGGTGCAGGGATCGCATTTTCTCTTCCCCACGCCACCCACCCTGGGGGGATGGATTTCCTGGTCTGATGGCCCCTCGCGTCCTCTTGGCCCCCTGGGGATGCCGGTCGTGGGTGCGTCTCCGCTGCTGGGGCGGGGTCGCCTTTCGGCCAAGCGCGGGGCGGGGGCTTCGGCGTCCCCGTCGGTTAGGGGGGGTTGGTTGCCCTTCGGCCCATGCAGGAGAAAAGGAAATGTGACCTCTCTCGTGCATGCAGGTCTCGGCGCCAGGATACCACCACCACCACCACAAGGCCATCCAAAGGGGCCATTTTCCATCTCCCTCTCCTTCTTCTTCTACCATTCCTCTGAGGACCTTGGTGGGGGGCATGTATATGATCCTCCTCCTCCTCCTCCTCCTCCTCCTCCTCCTCCTCTTCCTCCTCCTCCTCGTCCTCCTCCTCGTCCTCTCCTCCTCCTCTCCTCCTCCCCCTCCTCCTCCCCCTTTTCTTCCCTGCCGTTCCTCCTCCCCCTCCTCCTCCCCCTCCTCCTCCTCGTCCTCCCCCTTCTCCTTCCTCCTCCTCCTCCCCCTCCCCCTCCTCCTCCTCCTCCTCCTCCTCCTCCTCCTCCTCCTCACCCTCCTCACCCTCCTCAGCCCCGCCCCGCCCTCGCCAGGCGGCCGCCGCGCGGCCGAGCGACGGTCCCGCGCTAGTCCTCACGGCGGGCTCTCTGCGACCCTGGCGCGCGGTCCGATTCCCGCGGCGCAGACGTCTCGTGGAGGGAGGGAGGGAGGGAGGAAGGGGAGGGAAGGAGGGGGGGGAGCGAGGGGAGGGAGGGAGGGAGGGGAGGGGAGGAGAGGGAAGGATGGATGGATGGAGGGAGGATGATGGTGGTGGTGATGACGACGGTGGTGGGGATGATGATGATGATGATGATGATGATGATGATGATGATGATGATGATGATGATGATGATGATGAGGATGATGAGGATGAGGATGAGGATGAGGATGAGGATGAGGATGAGGATGAGGATGATGATGAGGATGGTGGTGGTGGTGATAATGATTATGGTGGTGGTAGTGGTGATGGTGGTGATGGTGGTGATGATGATGGTGGTGGTGGGGGAAATGGTGGTGATGATGATGGTGGCGGTGGGGGTGGTGATGATGACGACGATGATGATGATGATGATGATGATGATTGTGATGATGATTATGGTGATGCTGAGGATGGTGCTGATTATGATGCTGATGATGCTGATGATGCTGATGCTGATGATGCTGATTATGCTGCTGATGATGACGATGATGCTGATGCTGATGATGATGGTGCTAATAATGAAGATGTTGATGCTGATGGTGATGATGATGGTGCTGGTGCTGCTGATGATAACGAATGTGATGCTGATTATGATGATACTGATGCTGCTGCCGCTCATGATGATGATGATGCAGGTGGTGATGGTTGTTGTGTTGGTGATAATAACGATGCTGATGATGATGCTGATAGTGATGGTGGTGATGATGGTGCTGGTGGTGGTGATGGTGATGATACTGGTGCTCGTGGTGATGATGATGGCGGTGGTGATGATGGTCATGGTGGTGGTGATGATGCTGATGCTGATGATGATGCTGATGCTGATGCTGGTAATGATGATGGTGCTGCTGCTGATGATGATTTGTCATATTCTTATGATGATGATGAATGTGGTGGTGGTGGTCGTGGTGATGATGCTGATGGTGGTGTTGCTGATGCTGATGCTGCTGATGATGATTGTGGTAGTGGTGGTTATGATGACGAGGGCAGAAGTGAGGATGGCGATTGTGGTGGTGATCATGATGATGATTATGATGATGATGAGTATGATGGTAATGGGTATGATGATTCTGATGCTGATAATGATGCTGCTGATGACCATGGTGGACGAGTATGATGATGCTGATGATAATGATGCTGATGATGCTGACGATGTCGAGGATGGTGATACTGATGCTGCTGCTGATGATGATTATGATGATGATGATGCTGGTGTTTGTGTTGATGGTGGTGGTGATGATGACGATGCTGATGGTGACGGTGCTGCTGCTGATTATGATCATGATGATGTTGTTGTTGATGATGATGATGCAGATGATGACGATGACGATGATGATGATGATGATGATGATGATGATGATGATGATGATGCTGCTGATGATGATGATGATGCTATGCTGATGATGATAATGATGATGATCATGCTGCTGGGGATGATGGTCATGATGATCTTGCTGATGGTGATGATGGTGCTGATGATGATCGTGGTTGTGATGATGGTGGCTGTGATAATGCTGATGATGCTGTTGCTGATGATGAGACTGCTGATGATGATTATGGTAATGATGATGGTGGTGGTGGTGATGTCTTCATGATGATGATGATGCTGTGGTGATGAGGTTGATGTTGATGATGGTGATGGTGATGCTGATGATGTTGTCGATGGTGATGATGATCATGCTGACGATGGGGCTGATAATGATGGTGGTGGTTATGATGATATGATGATGCTGTTGCTGATGCTGCTGCTGATGATAACAATGCTGATGATTATAATGATGATGCTGATGCTGCTGATGATGATAATGCTGATGCTGATGCTGCTGATGATGATGATGGTGATGGTGATAGTGATGGTGATGGTGATGATGATGATGCTGCTGGTAGGTCGGGGGAGTCTTGATGAAATGTCCCAAGCGGTTCTGGCCAAAATTCTTGCGAACATCTTCCCCTGAATCTCCGGCCGCAGTGCTGGGGCCCTTGATGATGATGATGATAATTATGATGATGGCGATGGTGATGGTGATGGCGATGTGGTGGTGGTGATGATGATGATGATGATGGTATTAGGTCGGGGGAGTCTTGATAACATGTCCCAAGCGGATCCGGCCAAAATTCTTGCGAACACCTTCCCCTGAATCTCCGGCCGCAGTGCTGGGGCCCTTAATGATGATGATGATAATTATGATGATGGCGATGGTGATGGTGATGGCGATGGTGATGATGATGATGATGATGATGATGGTGGTGGTGGTGGTGGTGGTGGTGTCGATGATGATGATGATGATGATGATGATGATGATGATGATGATGATGATGATGATGATGATGATGATGATGATGATGATGGTATTAGGTCGGGGGAGTCTTGATAACATGTCCCAAGCGGTTCTGGCCAAAATTCTTGCGAACATCTTCCCCTGAATCTCCGTCCGCAGTGCTGGGGCCCCTCAGATCTCTAAGCCACATCCCCCTGGCGAAATCTCCAAGCCAAATCTCCACCGAAATCTCCAGGAAATCTCTGGAATCCCCCTTCTGGTGGAAATGTCTGGCGAAATCTCCGGGCCATTCCGCCCGCGCGAGAATCTCCAGCGAAATCTCAGGGGTTTCCATTGATTATAATGTTTTGGGATGTAGGAGACCTCAGCTGAAATCTGTTTGGAAATCTGCTCCAGGAGATTTCCCTGGAGATTTCTGAGGGGCACGTTATTGATTTTCTGAGAAATTTCGGTTGAGGTTTTCGAGGGGCAAGATTTTTCGGGAGATTTCCGAGCGGCGACATCTCCCAGGTTTCCGGAATGTGTTCGGATTGATTAGAATATGTTGGGATGTCATCTCAGTGGGAATCTTTGTGGAAATATGTTCCGGGAGATTTCCCCGGAGGCTTTCCGGGAGGTTCCCGAGATGAGAGATTTTGGGAGAGTTTGCCACGGAGGTTTCCGAAGGGCAAGATTTCTCGGTTGATTTCCCGAGAGATTTTCCGGGAGACTTCCCGGGGGCAAGATTTCCTGGGAGATTTTCACGGAGATTTCTTCTAGGCCTCCCACATGCATGGGGTCGGCGGATCCATCGCCCACGACGATGCATCGCCAGTGCATCGCCGATGCATCGCCGATGCATCGCCGATGTATCGGCGATGCAGCGCGATCCTCCGACCCCATCTACTCCGACACCATCTAGGCCTGTATTTCCGAGGGGCAGATATCCCGGGAGGTTTTCCGGGAGATTTCCGGGGGCAAGATTTTCCGGGAGAGTTTGCCACGGAGACTTCCGAGGGGCAAGATTTCTCGCCGGGAGATTTTTGGGGAGATTTCCGAGGGGCAAGATTGGTTTGGGTTTTTTTTGAGTTCTGTAGGGCGTCCAAGATTTGTTTTGGAGATGTTCGGTCGGACATCTTATCTAGGTACTCCCCCGATCTAATGTTGGTGTCGGTGGTGGTGGTGTTGATGATGCTACTGATGATGCTGATGCTGCTGACGAGGATGATGATGATGCTATGCTGGTTTTGGTGACGATGATGATGATGATGCCAATGCTGCTGCTGATAATGATGATGAAATTGTTGTTGGTGGTGGTGATTATGATGATGCTGATGATGACGATGCTGATGGTGATGATGGTGATGATGATGATTGTGATGGTGGTGATGATGATGGTGGTGGTGATGACGATGATGTTGGAGGTGGTGGTGATGATGTTGATGATGATGATTGTGGTGGGGGGGTGGTGATGATGATGGTGGTGCTGATGGTGGTGATGATGATGATGATGGTGATGATGATGATAATTGTGGTGTTGGTGATGATGCTGATATTGATGCTGATGTTGATGATGGTGGTGGTGATGATTGTGAATCTCCAGATGATGATGATTGTGATGATGATCATGGTTCTGCTATGATGCTGCTGCTGATGATGATGGTTTTGGGGATGATGATGATGATGATGATGATGATGTTAATGATGATG